TTTTTTTTTTTTTTTTTTTTTTTTTTTTTTGCAGGCTCTGGGTCCCAGTAATTGCCTTGGGGCTGTATTTTCAGAACTGAATGAGTCTGTGTTCAAAGAAGGCAGCAGCAGGCACTGCTTTCCCTGCCTCTTCCTCCCATGTTGCAGTCATTCCTGAAAATACAGCACTGGGGTTTTCTGAGTCCACTTGGGGTGTCAGAAAATGCATTGCTATGTTATGCCATCTCAGTATTTCTGAACAGCTTACACAGTGAGGTCCCTTTTCTTACACTTAAAATAGGAATTTTGGATTTGAAGCCTATGTTATGTAGCCCCAAAGCACACAGTGTTATTGATATATTGCCACATGATCTATGGGCAATCTTAGAGTATTTGGCCGAGTCTATTGGCTTAGCCAGTCATTTGGCTAAGTATGCAATCTTGCCAAGTTCAACATAGGAACATTATTTTTAATTCTTGCATATTTTAGAGGCATTTTGTGAATGGAAATTTCTTTTCTTGTCTGGAGTCAAGTAAGTTTCTTGGAAGGTAATTGAGACAGTTACAGGAAGAAAGGCCTTTTGAACATGTAATTGTATTACATGGGGACTGTTTCACAGGGTATAAGTCTGTACCTAGGAAGAAATGATTAAAAAGAAGTCAGGGAAGCTGATTGTGTGGTTGTTACCAAATTCAATAATTAAAGGTTGAATTCTTCAGGGCATTCACTGTCTTGTCTTAGGTGAGTCATATTCAATACTATGCCATAATCTATTTGAGACAATTATGTTACTTATCTGATAGAATATTCCTGACCATGGCTAAAATCCTATTCAGTGCTCAGAATAGCTGCTGATGCTATTTCTACTTTAAAACCTCTGTCCAACAGGAATGAAAGAATAGAAATTCCTTTGTAATGAATATTAATTATGCAGATGGGAAGTTCTATTTAGGGACTGGGGGAAAATGGTTGTATCTCTATAATTATATTACCCTGTGCTACTTTTTTAATTAAAAGTTTCAGCATACTTTTTTATTCTTGGAGATCAAATCTAAACTTTAAATTCATTTAATGTATGCACTCTTGTTTAGGTCAATTCTACTTACTGAGTATAACATGGGTGGTCTAGTTTATTGCCTAAGTGATAGGAAATGAAAGAGATAAGACAATATTGAGAAGCAATAACCAGCATAAACTTCTTGTACAGTCTAAGTGAAATATTTATGTTGTCCAGGCTTGCCTGGCTTCCACAGTTTGAGAAATAAAGGAACACGATCATACTGGGGCCAGATTTGGTGTCAAACTTATTTATATTTAGAATGAATGATTTCTCAATTTAAGAATAAGTCATTAAAACCAGGGGGAGACATGCCTAGCACATGCCTTTTCCATTATGAGGTTCCTCTTGGTAATTCTGAGCATCACTCTTAGCAGGCTCTCTATCACTGTATTTTTAATTCAATGAAATGTGAAAAGATTCTATTCTGAAATTGGATGACTCAGACCTTTAACAGCTCTTTTTTTTTTTTTTTTTTTTTTTCCATTTCTAGTCCTTGAAGAGAAAAACTGCTCAGACCTTGGGGGCCCAGTCAATGGATACAAGAAAATAACAGGAGGCCCTGGGCTTCTCCATGGGTACCATGTAAAAATCGGCACTGTTGTGTCATTCTTTTGTAATGGCTCTTATGTTCTTAGTGGCGATGAGAAAAGAACTTGCCAGCAGAATGGAGAATGGTCAGGGAAGCAGCCCATCTGCATAAAAGGTAACTCATTGATATTTTTGGTTTCTGTAGCTGTAGATGGAGTTGCTGTACTTTTTGATAGCTCTAATGAGTGCTTTTAGGTCCCTAGAAAATGCTTTTCTCTTGTAATCTCTCTCTCAAACCATATGTAACTCTTGAATTGAAAAGAATACCTTAAAAAATACCTTTGCCTATTTTTTCTGGGCCTCATGAGGGCCTGCTTGCTCTCATCATATCTTGAGGTGATAGAGAAGCAGCTTAGGAAAAAGGAGAAGGCTGAGTTTTATGTGTACAAATCCAAGGGCAGACTTTATAAGCTTTTGCATTGCTATGTTTATTTTCTATGCAATATTGTTAGTGCAAGGCATAAAAGAGCTGATAGATGCACATTCCCGGAGGCTACAGATGTTAAGATGTCCAAAAACAAAGACAATAAACCTTCAAACATCTAAGGGACAGTTATAGGGACAAGTTAGTAGGTCAGGAAAAAAAAGGAGAGATCGGTATTCCTGAAATAAATGATTTGAATGAAGCATGTGGGATTGGTACCAGCCAGGAAAGCTGGGAGAAATTTAAAGGCGTGAAGAGGAGTTGGGATAGTATTCCAGATGAAAGACAGGAAAAGAAAGTAGGTGTAGGTGGGAGTGAAAGACTTATGGTAAGCCCAAGGCAAACCATTCTAGGAAGTAAAATTTAAAATATAGATTGGATGCAATTTATATTTTAAATTAATTTTAAATGAAAACAATCTATTTTAAATGAATTGTGCAAGGTGCATGGAACCCTCCTCATCTCAGTGGAGATGAAGTTTCTCCCTGACTTTACCCCCTGCCTTCAGGCTGACAGCTCCTGTATTAGGGGACAGGCCACAATGATCTGGCTGTTCACTAGGAAGAAAAGCATGTTCATGTCCCAGATTGTCAAAAACATTGCCCCCACCCTTTGTTCTCCCTTCTGGGTATTTGTCAACAACCCACATCATGGGAAAAAGAAGGAAAGAGAAAGAGGAATAAATGTGAAAGGGATAAATCACTTTAGGCTTTTGCCAGAAACAACTTTCATCCTCAGCACAGGGTCTGATGTTTTCTTTCATTAAGTATGGGAACGGTGTTGCATATGTCCTTGGAGGTTTTTGTCAACTCTTCTCTTACAAATTAATACAACCAAAGTACTCTAAGTTGCTAATTAGACAAATGTTGGCTGCCTGATTGGGAAAGTGAGATGGGAAGGATTCATTTTCCCCAGAGGAAAAAAGAAAGACTTCAGTGAATTGAAACAGCTTCTGAGTTGTCCTCTGGTGACTGTTAGAGACCTTCATTGCAGAGACAGCTCAAGGAATGGTCGGTTACTCAAGATTTATCTGTGCTGACACTGGTTTTAAACAAGCACCTCTGAACTCCCTATGTGGGCTATATTTTAGAAACTCTAGTTTGACTTTTATTCCATTAGGATCTAGTTTGCTAGCACCATTCCCGTGAACAGATGCTCCTAATCTATTGACTGTCAGTGTCCCAAATTACCTAGATGAAGCAGTTTTTCAGAGGGGATTGCTGAGTTTTTCAGAGGTAGCTGTCAATTCAGGTGAAAGGCAGTTGCCCTTTTGCTAAGTAAGCTGTTCAAGACAAGATATGTCTTGTCTCTGAGACTGGGGAAAGAGTGTGGTGTCTGGAACAGGGGGTTCGGGTATGAATCCGAATAATGTGATGTGACCAGCGAAGATGGAAAAGGACTCTGTAGCACTGTCTGTCTTTTTCTAGCCTGCCGGGAACCAAAGGTCTCAGACCTGGTGAGAAGGAGAGTTCTTCCAATGCAGGTTCAGTCAAGGTGAGACCAAACACCTAGACTCTGCTTTAAGGGCTAATGAATATTTACCTTCCCATCCCCTCCTCCACTTCTCCACTTGTGTTTGCCCAAAGACAGCCTGGCGCTTCTTAGGGACATTTAGTACTAACTGATCATGAAAGAATGGGGCTTGTTAGATGGTGGCTCATTAGCCAGCTGCCTTCGGCCAAAGGGTAGCAACTGTTGGAAGAGAAGCAAGTTTTATTGGATCGTGGGAAAGCAGATGCTGGTGAGAAGCAAGACTTTCTGATGATCTTTGAAGAGCTGGATTCTAATACTTCAGGCTTCCTAAAGTGACTGCTTATTACGGCAACTTCTAGGAGTTGGCATTCCTTCTGTTGAAGCAGCCAGCTGGGGGTTAGGAAGACCTTCTTGATGATGACCTACCAGATGAGGCAGGCTGGTGGAGCCCAGGAGCTAGAGATAAATAACCAGTTGTAATGAGGGTCATGAGCTCTTGGATGTGCCCATTGTGTCTCCTGGGAAGACAGATGAGGTCCACATGGTGGTGAGAAAGGAGGCCACTTCTCTCTTTCTATATCCTCTTCCTCACTCTTTCTACTTCAGTTGCATGGGCCTCTTTTGTTTTCTTCTATCAGTCCAAACCTAATTCTGTTTTAGAAACTTTACACTTGTGGCTCTTTCAGCCTAGAAACTGCTTTCATGGGATCTCGCTGAGCTAGAACCTCATCTCTTTCTGTTCTCTGCTGCTTTCAGCTGGATGATCTTCCTCACCATTCTCACTCCCCTTTAAAATAAAACCGTGTGGTGCTGGGGAATGAATTTAGAGCTTAATGTATACTAGACATGTGTTGCACCACCGAGCTACATCCCCAGCCCCCGACTCCCTTTGAAATAAAAGTAGCAGCCTCACTTGTACCCTGACACCAGGCTGACCCCTTAACCTGGTGTTCTCTGGCCTTCACCAGGTTTCTGTTTTCATCTTGGCATTCCTTCTACACACACACAGACACAGACACATACATACACACATTCTCTCTTCTCTCTCTCTCTCTCTCTCTCTCTCTCTCTCTCTCTCACTCAAATGGGCCATGTGTCTGCATCATTCTCTCTCTGTCTCTCTCTGTCTCTCTCTCTCTCTCTCTCTCTCTCTCTCTCTCTCTCACTCACTCATTTTCTTTCTCCCAGCCATTTCAAATGTAAAAGTTACAAGTGAGGGAACATTACCTGCTTTGTTCATGCTCAAGTTCTACCTGAAACCATGTCTGCCACGTGGAAGTCATTTAGTAGCTGCTTCTTGAAGGAATGAATTGGATGACAGTCAAGGGTTCAAGACCTGCTTCTGCCTCCCTCTTTAGTCCTGGGTCTTCTTAGGCAACTTTCCAAACTTGATGAGCCTTCATTTTCTCTTTTGAAAAACAGAGGTAATTAGTAAGTCTCTGGGGATTGCTGCTAGGATTAAAACCACATTAACAGCTGACACTTACAGCATATTTGCATGTGCCAGCTGTTTTTCTCATCACTTTGCATAGATTAGTTCATTTAAGCCTCACTAGAACCTCTGAGGCTAGATATTTTATGATTATTATTTGTTTCTTATTAACATATTGTATACGGGTAAACTGAGAACTTAAGTAATATGCCCAAAGACTTATTACTAGAGCAAAGTGCAAAGCCAGAATGTAAATCCAGTATCTGGCCTCAGGGTCTTCTCCCTATGCTCTAGCTAATGCAGAACTGACCTGGCACAGTCTTCAGTGAAGATACCATCCTTATCTCACCCCTCCTCAAGCTTTCATCCATATTCATCTTTCTCTTTTCAGGCAAAGCATTTTCTTGGGAACGGTGTCAGTAGAGTGCAGACTCTGCGTCTTTCTGATCTTGGTGGTTTCCCTGGGGCGGGCTCTCCACTGAGTGGAATCCACCTGCTTTTCCCAAGGAGACATCTCTATTGCCTTTCCTAGCTTTGTGATGCCTTGTAGAGGAATTCTGAGCTACACAAAAAGGCTACATGGCTTCCTATTGTTACAGCAATTTTAATGGCATATTAGGTGGCAACATGGTAGGTGACTCCTACAAACGAGAAAGCAAGCCTAAACTTGGTATAAGTACCTTTCTGGAAGACAGGCTCCTGAAATGGGGGTCTTTCGATCTCCAACAATCTCCCAAATTCTACATATAGACATGAAGTTGGGAGGGGGCGTGTTGGGTGGTATAGAGGGAATTGGATGGGGGAAATGGGGGCATATATAATCATATTTCATTGTATACATGTATAAAATTCTCAAAAATTTTTTTTTCTAAGAAAAAGTAAGCTCATTTTTCATTCAAGAGCTCCTAATTGCAGACCTGGTTATAAACATGACAGGAATATTTAGTGAGTAAAATCAACATGGGATACATATTTTCTCTGAATCAAATACCACAGAGATACAGGAAACAGGGTTTTTAAATAACAATGTTGAATAGCAGAGATACTAGGGTGAAACGGTGACTGTGAAATGCTACCTTGGGTGCCATCCTCTTTACTGCGTCCCAGAGCTCTCTGTATACCTTTCTGGGCTTCCTTTCTCCATTCAGTATGACACAGGGATGAGGACACCTATTCCTGAAGAAATCCCAGCTTTCCAACTGACAGTCATTATGCACCAATGTAAAACAATCACAAGCTGTAACATGGATGTATCTCTCCCCCAGAGAGCCCGTGAGTGGCTCCGAGGGCCTCAACACTGTGGCTCATTTAATATCTCTTTTCACATTTGCATACAACTCTTGGTATTTCTCCCAATAAGTGGTCCCTGAGAGAAAGTTCTCATCTCTGAGAACTAATTACTTCTGCTAATTGCTAAATCAGGCTACTGTATCAACACAGTTTAGTCCAAGTCAATTCTTAATATTGCCCCATTATAATAATGTTTAGAGCAAAGAATGTGCCTGGCTTTCTCTCATTCAAATTAACTCTCTTTCCTGTTTAATTTTACAATTAAACGTGTGCTGTGCTCTCTTTCTCTCTCTCTGTCTCTCTCTCTCTCTCTCTCTCTCTCTGTGTGTGTGTGTGTGTGTGTGTGTGTCTACAAAGTGTACCTTTGGATAGCAGCTATTATGTTTGATGTTATTCTCTTTGGTTAAAAATCCTAGATACTTGGAAGCATGCCAGAAATGCAGTACTAAAATATTGAGGCATGTAAGAGAATTTTCCCACTGGTAGAAGTACTGTGTGTATATGTGGGGGGGGCATAGAGGATGGAGGGGACAAAGAATGAGAAATGAGAGGCATGTGTGTGTGTAGAGAAGAGAGGGAACAAAGAAGAGAATTGAGAGGCATTTTCTCTTCTGTAACTGAATAGCAGCATGGATGCTGAAATCTTGCTTCTGTCTTTCCCTGGTCCTATGTGCCCTGATCCAGGGAGACCCCTTTACACCAGCTGTACTCCACAGCCTTCACCAAGCAGAAACTGCAGGATGCCTCTACGAAAAAGTCAGCCCTTCCCTTTGGAGAGCTGCCCCCTGGGTATCAGCATCTGCACACCCAGCTCCAGTATGAGTGCATCTCACCCTTCTACCGCCGCCTGGGAAGTAGCAGGAGGACCTGTCTGAGGACCGGGAAGTGGAGTGGGCGGGCCCCATCCTGTATCCCAAGTGAGTCATGGCTCATCTTTAAGCTGGAGCCTCTTCCTTTTTCTAAGCCTGCCTGTGAAAAACCTAATCTTATCGAAGACTTTTATTATTATTATTATTATTATTATTATTATTATTATTATTATTTGGAAAGTTTCCTTGTCTAACAGAGTGCTCTTTCATTACTTTCCCTGGTTCGGTGATGTCTGAAATTCTGCAGTGAGAGCTTCTTCCCTTTGGTTTAAGTTTACTATCCAGATTCATTAAATCTTAAAGGTGTATCTTCTTGTGGATGGTTCTGTCATTTGTATCTGGAGAAAAGAGAGTTGAGCAGAAATTAAACACCAAGTAGGGATGGAGTTAAAGCTGCCAGGGGGCCTCTGGCTATGAAATTTTGAGTACCTTGTCATTTTTGTACTCATTATCCAATGATATTAATTGCTACTAGTTAAACAATGAGGTGATGCTAGATAATATGAGATGACACTGAGATAATGCCTGGAAGTCCTGGATTATGGGCTTGCCCTTGCGCAGCTATCTTCCCCATCCTCTGTGAAAGGAGAAGAGTGTGGCTGAGTTCATTGATGCTTATGATTATAGTCATGATATTTTAACTGTTACATCATCTCATTCAGTCTTCTCAAGACCATCCCCCCAGACTATTACTATTATGCTGTACATTTTATAGGCAAAGAAACTAAGGCTCTAAGGTATCAGGTATCAGGTAATTTGTCCAAAATCCTATTAATTAAAGTGCCTTGGAGAAGATCTACATTTTATTTGACTTCAAAGCCTCCACTTTTAACTCTAGATTTAAAATCAAACATTATCTAGGATAGTTGGTTAGTATCAGAGTTGGGGAGATAGCTCAGTCTGTAAAGTGCTTGCTGTGCAACCATGAGGAACCGAGTTTGATCCCAGCACCCACATAAAAGCTGGGCACAGCAGCTTGTGTCTGTAATCCCAGTGCTGGGAGGTAGAGGACCCCTGGGCTTTGCTGGGCATCCAGTCTAGCCAATTTGTTAAGCTCAAGGTCCAGTGAAAACCCCTGTCTCAAAGAATAATGTGGAAAGCAATTGAAGAAGATATTAATATCTGACATTGACCTCTGACCTTGACACACATGTGCACATTCTCTTGTACAGTAGTATATACATACACATACACAAACACATGTACCACATACACACACACATTTAAGACTATTAAAGGGAAGAGAAAACTAGGCTGGATGGTTCAGTGGTCATCACCTCCAAAGGATCATCTTTAAAAAAAATTTTTTATTTATTATTTTTATTTTATGTGTATGAGTATATTGTCTGCATGTAGGTGAGTGCACCCATGTCGTGCAATGCCTCAGAGGTCAGAAGAGGGCATCAGATTCCCTTGAACTGGAATTAAGGATGGTTTGTAACTGCCATGTGGGTCCTGGGAATTGAACCTGGGTCCTCTGCAAGAGTTCTTAACTGCTGAGCCATCTCTCCAGCCCCAGGATCATCTTTTTTTCAGATTTATATCTCCTAGTTGAGTGACATGTTCCCTTTCAGATAGGAAAGATATGGGAAAGATCTGAGTTGATGGTATTGAAATTATATTTTCTCCACAGTCTGTGGGAAAATTGAGAACGTCACTTCTCCAAAGACCCAAGGGACTCGCTGGCCGTGGCAAGCAGCCATCTACCGGAGGACCAGTCATGTGCATGATGGTAGTCTGCACAAGGGTGCATGGTTCTTGGTCTGCAGTGGTGCCCTGGTGAACGAACGCACTGTGGTAGTGGCTGCACACTGTGTGACTGACCTGGGGAAAGTCACCGTCATCAAGACAGCAGACCTTAAGGTAGTCTTGGGGAAATTCTACAGGGATGATGACCGAGATGAGAAGACCATCCAGAATTTACGGGTGAGAAAGGGCTTAATGTGGAAGCTGGGGCTCTAGGGCTTAACCAGTTACAAGCACAAGAGAGCAGCACCTGTGTTAGCCCTGTCACCTTAGCATATAAGTAGCCACTCCAGAGCCTGGTGTGCAGCAGGTCCTCAATACTTCATACTGACAGACACTGGAAATGGGAGGTTAGAAAGCCACATAGTCTTTCTCCTCTCCTTTACTTGTTTTAAAAATAAGGTAGAACCAAAATCATCTATCACTGTAGTCATGAAAAGTCAGTCACCTCAAAGTAAAATATACATGTACTTTACCTAGTAGCATATATTGTAAATTATACTACATTGAAACTATTCACTTAATGGGGGTCTCTGTCTGAGATTATTTGTTCAAAAGACATTGTGACTTATCATTGTGTCCTCAGTGTCCAGATCAAAAGAGATTGTTAATAAATAGTTCTTGAATTAAAAAAAAGATAGTTTATTGTCACATTTGGGAATTATCCAAGTAGGCTTCAAGGACATAAATTTTATCCATGATAATCCTACAATACACTTCTCCCTTATTCTGTATTCCCTTTCAATCTGTTCATCCATCCATCCATCCCATCCCATCCTCTATTTATCCATCCTTCCACCTGTCTATCTAGGAATCAATTCATCCATCTGTCCATCATCAGTGAGCCCTTACAATATGAAGCGCATGTGAAATAGAGAATGCGGCATGACAGTTTTCTCTAGTTTAGTGGAAGAGACAGATCCATATGCTGTGATCAGTATTTCACAGGAGAAGCCCCAAGAAAAAGTGCTCAAGTAATAGAACTTATATATCTTAAAAAATTGAAATGCATTACAAATATGAGCTCTTAGAAACCCTATCAAAAACATTAACCAATAAGACATGGAATAGTAAGAGAAGACCCTGTGGGAAAGTCATTGAGTGTTCTGAGAACATTCTTATTGGAGAAATCTTAGGGACTGTTTGCTACGGAACGTGGCTCCATCTTGCTGGCTTGAAAGTACATGAAATGTTGGGGCTAGAGAGATGATTCAGTGGTTAAAAGCACTGGCTGCTCTTGCAGAGGATTCAGGTTCGAATCCCAGCACCCACATGGCAGCTAACATCTGTCCCTAACTCCAATTCTAAGGGATCTGACACCCTCTCCTGACCTCTGCAGGCACTGCACAACATGGGTGCACTTACATATATGCAGGCAAGAAACTCATACACATCAATTAAAATATTATAAAAAGAATCTATGAGAAAGATTTACAGTGGGCCAGACATTTCAAACTAGTAGCTTATAGTTTATGGTTTTATTGTGCTGACATATATGTTCTTAATCAGTTTATTTATCAACAGTAAACAATTCAGATAAAATCTGGAATCCATTCTCTGGCAAAATCAGAATGCTCAGGCCATTTTGGTAGGAATGAAATGTCCTCTGCTTGCTTCATATGGGACATGAACTCCCCTTTCTGCAGCCTTGCCCATGGAGTAGATCCCATTTATTCCACTTACCGGGTCCTGGTAGGCATTTGAGTTGAGATAAAACAATTACTTTCCATGATTCCTTATGTTTCCAAATAATTACAGCTATCACTTAGATAATTTCATCTAATAATTTGGCTCCCAAACTGGCCTATTCTTGTCCACACTGGAGTTGGCTGTTCACTGTTGCTATCTATTTCTTGTATTGGTAGATTTCTGCTATCATTCTGCATCCCAACTATGACCCCATCCTGCTTGATGCTGACATCGCCATTCTGAAGCTCCTGGATAAGGCCCGCATTAGCACCCGCATCCAGCCCATCTGCCTGGCTGCCACTCGGGACCTCAGCATTTCTTTCCAGGAGTCCCACATCACTGTCGCTGGCTGGAACATCCTGGCAGATGTGAGGAGCCCTGGTTTCAAGAATGACACGCTGCATTCTGGAATGGTCAGAGTAGTGGACTCGCTGCTCTGTGAGGAACAACATGAAGACCATGGCATCCCAGTTAGTGTCACTGACAACATGTTCTGTGCCATTCAGGACCCCAACACCCCTTCTGACATCTGCACTGCAGAGACAGGGGGCATTGCAGCTGTGTCCTTCCCAGGCCGAGCATCCCCTGAGCCTCGTTGGCATCTGGTGGGGCTAGTCAGCTGGAGCTATGACAAGACATGCAGCCATGGCCTAGCCACAGTCTTCACCAAGGTGTTGCCTTTCAAAGACTGGATTGAGAGAAACATGAAATGAACTGGCTGCAGGCCCACTGAGAACCTTTCCCCAGCATCCATCTCTATATGTGCTGTATGACACTCTGGACCTGAAGTGTGATTTTGCCCATGAACTTGGCCATGACAAACCTTCTCCTTTCAGGGATGTATTTCAGTGAATGATGAGTAGAGTTTGCTTTCTGGCAGGCCACCACTTTTCTGACTGCTAGAAACCATCTGAAAGATGCTAAGGCTTATGAGAACTAAATTTCTTCAAAGAAGACCATGTGAATGAGAAGAAAACCTTCATGGCCTTCTCCACCTCTCAGTGATGTGAATGTCATGGTCATCTCTGGTTGAGAGGGTTGGCCTGAGGGGGTCTGGACTGTACCACCCCTCTTTTGAGGGCTTCAGTCAAACTTCCAAAGAACAGCCTGTATGACAGCCCAGGGCAAAGGAGCTTGGATGTGGCACTTGCTCTTATGAATGTTATCACAGTATTTTCTGGTCATTTTCCTTGATTTCCTGCACACATTTTAATAAAATAAGGGTTGGCTTCTGACCTACAAAAGAAAAATGTTATATCCTCATTTTTGTATGCTGATTTTCTGAGTTACATGAATTTGGGCTAGTGGCTTGGAGATGACCTTTTAATATAGAGCCAAAAGGTATAATTCTCCAATGTGTATGCCAAAGGCTACCTTTTCTATGACAGTCCTTGGAGCTTGAAGGGCCATGGGCCAGGCATTTCAAATACAGATGCCATCAGATAAGATACAGATTGATAAATACTAGGGGTGTGACTTATCTCAATAGGACTGAGAAGTAGGAGATTAGTAAATCACAACTCAAAGTGTGTCTGTCAGGATGTTTCTATGGAGGATTAAGAGAAGAATTATCATGAGTGTGGGAAATACCCCACATTCCATCCCATAAACTGGAGGCTCAGATAGAAGGGGGTGGGGAGCCAGCACGTGTAGGGATTCTCTCTCTGCTTTCTGGCTGTCATGATGGGAACTGCTCTTCTCTGTCCTCCTCACCAGGATGGAGTAAAACTTCTGAAATTCTGAGAAAACTAATCTGTCTTTGTTTCCCTCAGGTCACAAACTCTGGCCAACACCATGGATTTTCTCATTTCTATTGTCTTTGATTCTCCTAATCTAGATTCAGCATAAAGCCTACTTTGAATCTCCACAAGGCCTTTTAATAAAGTAAATGAAAAGTAAATGAAAAGTCCTTATTGTACTTGAATCAGAGTCACATATTTACTTACACCAAACAGACATGCTAAAAACCTATAGCCTCACTCTTTCTACAACTCCTGTGAGTCTCCTTTGAAGCCCCACTCTCGCTTCCTACTGTATAGTAGAGGAAAAATGAACTTAGTCTGATAAATACCTTCTGTGATATTTTTCACTTATATTATCTCTTGGGAGTTGACTTTTTTCCTTCTCTCTCATCACGTTTTCTCTTCCATAAAATAGCGTCTCAGAGATGTGCATCTCTTTGAGCACTGAGACAATAGAAGAACCCATGAGTTCATGCTGGCTCTTGGGTATGTATGGTGGGCCGTTCCGTTTATTGAGTATATTACCAATATTTGGTGTTGGGTTAGTGTAACTTGTGATATATTATTTTTCTGTTTCAATGGGGCCTGGTAGTCTTTCCTGCTGACCTGCCTCTTCCTCAATTCTTGTGGGAATTGGCACTCCTAGATTTGGTAGTAACTCTTATTTGACCCTAGTTTGGGTCATTCAACATCATGGTCACAGTGATGACTCCCCTGGAGACTGCCACACCACTCTTAATGACCGCTTCTTCCTCCCTTGGGAACTTGTGGTAACTTCTGCACCATGTGAGAGAGGAGAACCCAGACCTGTTACAGACCATCTTGAAAGACATTAGTTTCCTATAAGCCCAAACAGGAACTTTACTCCCCATCAGGCTATGGCACAGAACAACCTTAAGGACTTTAGTCCCAACACAATATTAGTGATCCAACTTGCCTCCTCAATTTGGTGTCTTTACATAACTTGGTAAGGCAGAAGAGAATTGCTTCTAATTTATTTTTCTTTAAAAACATACTTCCTTAGGGCTTTGCATGAGCCACTACCACCTCATTTCACACAATCCTTCACCTCATCCTCATGCTTTAATGGAAGAACAGTGCATTAATTGATGAATCTAAGTTACTCAACATTTTATGCCTCAAGAGGTTATACATTTATTCTCGCATTGTTTGGGTAGATTGGGAATTGCGAAGCAGTTTAATCTGAGTTTGTAGTCACCTGCAGCCTTGCCGAGGCTGGAGGATTGATTCTTTAGATATTGATCAAGTCATTCAAAGAGCCCTGTAAGCCAAAGACTTAAAAAGTATGATGGAAGCTGGGTCAAGGAGATTTGAATTCAAATTCCCGTCTTTCGGTTTCTTTTTGAGTGGACTTCAGTAAGTTGCTTAATGTTTCTACTTCAGCTACAGTATGCGCTAAATAGTCATAATAATATCTTGGAATATCTTTCTAGTTGGACAATTGAGATGTATAAAATATCCAGCTTGTACATATTATTGTGGTTTGGGTCTTAAATATTCTCCTTCATGGTCCATGTGTTAAAGGCTTGGTAGCTAGCCTGCAGTGCTGTTGGGAGGCGGTAGAACCTTTAGTTCTATCTAGTGAACTAGGTAGAGGCCTAGTGGTAGGAAGTTAGGCTATTAGGAACTTTGCCTTGTTTGGACCCTGGTCTGTCTCTCTGTCCCTCTCTCTGTTTTTCTGTCTGTCTCTCCATCTTCTATTATAAGGGAGTAGATTCTTCCACCATCCACTCCTTCCATGATGTACTGCATTACCATAGGCTCATAGCAACAGGACCAAGTGACCATGGACTAAACCTTCTGATACCATAAGCCCAAATATGTCATTCCTTCCTTTAAGTAATTTATCTCAGGTATTTGGTCACAGCAAAGAAAACCTGACTAAACAGGTGGCATGTGGTCTAGTGCCCATAATACCTGGCAGGGCCTGATCTGTCCAGCTGGACAGTTTCACAAGGCATCCACAACCAATCACAATGGGCCTGTCACACATGGGTACCCATTCTCACACTGTCCATTACCTGTCTGTTTTGATTCCAGACCTGACACCTCCCCTACAATCTAGACACTCATTTCCCCTACTTTGTCCTTATCCTCTTTAATGCATAGTGTCATTTACAAAGTTCAGGAAGTAAATGAAAAGTTTAAGGCTCAGGAAGTGCCTGAAACTTACAGACTTCACAAGGTCCCTTTCCAAGTTTATAAAAGTCATAACAATTTCTGGGGAGAGGAAGTCTCTGACCCACAGAGCTGCCTATAAGTTGTGGGGTAAGCTCCAGGGATGTAGCTTTCCTGAATCTTTTCCCATGCTAAGGGTGGGCTTTCTGGTAATACAGCTGCCTTTAAGTCATCCCTGTTTCTGTAAGTAACCCTTCACCTATTTTCCTATAAGTAACTCTAATAAACTCATTAGTCCACTAAGCTAGACTTGGCGAAATCACTTCTTTTGTATGTCTTGGGTGTCCTATTGGGTGAATGGATGTTTGTTCACATCTTGCCATGAAGTCAGTACAATAGCACTCCAGGTGCCTGATTCATACATAGCCTTATGGCCACAGACCTAGCTAGCAGTGGCTGCTTCTAAATCTTTCTACATAGCAATGTTCTCATGGGCTTACGTACTCAATCACACTGTAAACTGAAGTTTCCAGAAAAAAGAAAAGCAGCCCCTATGTCAAATGTTCTACAAGGACAGATGAGTGAACTTCATGGTTATGAGAGTTAAAATGCTGCAGGCCAGAGCCAAATTATCTTGAACTATTTTTAGTTCCTTTTAAAGCCATTCAGTACCCATCTCTGTCTCTGACCTAAAATCCTTGTAACTATCAGAACCTTGAAACTGTATTTTTAGCAGACTACTAATTTCCATAAATCCAAAAGCTAAGAATGTCATCAGATAGCATCTGAAACCTATAACAGAGTTTTCCCTACTTTGCTATAACCCACCTATCCATGGGCCCTTATCAACCTATTTGGGAAGGGCCTTGATTTATGACTTTCTTTGTTCTATAATAAAATCTCATGTAAGTACTTCCACAGTGTCTTTTGGGGAAACCTTGATCCATGTACTCAGGCCATGGTCACTCACATTTGGCTCAAGAATAAACTAGCTTTTATTCTTTTGGGGGTGAGAGCTATGTTTTTGCATCAACAACACTAAGAACCAAGTCAGAACAAGAGACTCTGATATAGGCCTGTCCCTTAGCCACATCTATCTGCTGTTGAAATGGTCTCCATCTGGATAGCATGGTACTGCATCCTAGGAAAGACCTTCAAAGTTGAGAGTTTTCCTCTCAGCTGAAATTTGGTCTGTATGACAGTCTGAGGTTTTTCAGAGAATCAGAACTCAAGAGTCATAAAATAAAAGATTAATATGGCCACATAAAGCAGTGGGCCCTGCTAGAGAAGCCTGTGCAAGGCTGTTGCCTTTGTTCCTGGCGATGGATCTTAATCAACCAAGTCAGCAGTAGAAAGGAAAATGAGATGTGCAGCTGGCAGAATAAAGGCAGATGGGCTCCTATGGAGACAAATGGAAATCCATGTTTGTCTTTTGCTACTCCCAATCTCCATTATGTGAGTTGCCTGCTGGAGAAACTGGGCCCTATTTGCATGTAGCTGCACTCTCACCTGGTTCAGGATTCGGAGAAGCCAGGAAAGAATTTCCAATAAGTGCTGGAGGAGCTTTGGTCTGGGTACTATCCCAGCCCTGCAAGGTGAGCTGGCAGTGACATGGGATGGGAACTGCTACAGTGTCCCATGGGCTCTACCAATCCTCAGTGTGAAGATAGCTGTCACTTCCTTCTTTCTAAATCTCATATTTCTTGGGTGCCTACTCTAAACTTGTCCTAGTTTGTCTCTCCATTGCTGTGACAAAATACTCTGACCAATAATAGGGAGGAAAAGATTTATTTTAGCTTACATCTTCCTGGTCACAGTTCATCAGGGAGCCCAAGGTAGGAACTCAGGGCAGGAACCTGGAGTCAGGAGCTGGAGTACAGGCCTGCTTTCTAATACAATACAGGACGACCTGCCCAGGGGTGGCACCACCCACAGTGGGCTGGGTCCTCCCACATAACACAACAATCAAGAAGATGCCCCACAGACATGGCCACAGGCTAGTCCAATGGAGGCAATTCCGCACTTGAGGCTTTTTAACCTAGGTATGTCAAGCCAACACTAAAGCTATCCAGCACAATTGACCCTTTGTCAACTTGACACACAAACACATCACTATTAAAAAATAACCTTTCCACTTCTTGTCCCCAAGATACGATGTTAATATCACAACATAAGACAGTACAACTTTAAAAGCCCCACAGTCCTTCCCACTCCTTAGCATATACCCAAAGGACTCATCCTGTTATAGAGATGCTTGTACAACCATGTTTGTTGCTGCTCTTTTCACAATAGCTAAGAGATGGAAG